AGAATGTAGAGATGGATTGGATTGGGCATACACTGAAAAGACCATTTGTGAACAGCATGCGCCAGCCCGATCCTTCGAGTGGAATCCAGATGGGAAACGACGATTTGGGCGTGCGAGACGAGGGTGACATGAAGGAGATCATGTGAGGAAGAAATGAAAGGGTGTAGCCAGTTTGAAAAAACGGCAGATAACAGAGTGAAATGGCGATGTTGCACTAAGAACCCAAAGGACAAATAATAATAACAAAATCATACTGCATAGTGTTACAAATTATTTAATACTAAATAGCAGAATCTAGTAGTAACTGGTAGGGTAATACTACTATGAACAGCTTTACTTGATTAACTTTACCCAGTTTTGTAGAAGAAATTCCACATTCTTTGCTTGAATTCCAGTAGTATATGCGTACTACTCAAATAATGAGGTATTCATTGTCATGCACCTCGTTATTCTCTTTGCACATCTGTAGTTCTGATTACTTTTTAAATCCAACGCAGTCAAGAGATAAATTTAAGTAGTGCATTTTCTATCCAACGAAGAGAACTCTTTTCAACGAACTTGTTCTCAGGCTGTACGTTCGCATACACATATATACTTGATATTTAAAGACTGTCATCCGCGAGGAAAATTAAAGTGCTGAAGGACTGAAATAGCAATAATAGTAATTGTGATCATAATAATGTTTCTAGATGATGACGTAAAGGATGAATGTAAAAAGGGATTAAGTACGATTTTAAATCTTTCATAGAGGTCACAGGCTACAGATGGGTGAGAGCATGGAAAAGCCAACAAACAATTAAAATGATTAGGTAATATGAGTGAGAAACATTGAATGAGATAAAATAGAAATGAATTATTCAGCTGATGGATAGTGGGTAGTAGTAAAATATGAGATGCTCGTCTCTTTCCAATCAGGACTCATCAGTTGTATGTACCTGCCCACCCCCCCGCCCCCACAGTTCCCACTAAAACTAGAACCTGAAAACCCTCGCTTCAAACGCCACAGGGTTATCCACTAAGCCACCAATAACGACGGCCACTCCTTGTGCGACGGGTATAGTTTTTATGTTATATACAATACAAATAACAACATAAACATGATAATGGTTTGTTTAAAGTAACAGTTATTGGGAAGATTAAATGAAGTAACACCAGAAACTATCAAGCGTAAAAATCCTACCATAATGACGATGCAAGAGTACAAAGATTAATCTAACAAAGGGAGGAGACAAAAAAGATAAAACATACTAGGATGAAATTAAGGCCAAGATAGGGAGAAAGACACTACTTATTTCTTTTACACATAGGCAAAGCCTGTGCTGCTTTTAAAAGTTAAAGGTAGAGAAAAAGTGCAATGTTTGGACGAATTCGACAAACAACCATGTATTCAATGCTTCATTGAGTTGAATGGTTGGGATAGATTAAATGTGTTAGGATAAAACTTGTAAAGTATTCCCTTTCAGATTCATAAAACCAGGCTAAAATAGGTACTCATATACGTGGAGACAACAATATCTGGCTGAGATCGATCTACTTTGTTTCGCAAGAGCAGACGAACCAGTAGATGCACGTGGAGATGACCTATCGATTGATATTATCTTCTGTACAAACAGTGAAAAACGTATGACCAGTAAAGATCAAAATGTTTGATGTTACATCACCTATAAATTCCAGATTCACAAACAAATGTTTTCTAGAAACTGAGCTGACGACTAGTTTTGTACGTCTTTCTCGCATAATTCAATCAAAAAATTAGCTTGGACAGCCATTTTCTGCAAGTATACTTCTTACGATGTCAAGTTAAACTTCCCGAGAATCTGTACTACAAGTATTTTGTATTCGATAGCAGAAAAAGTGAATGAGTTATTTTGATCTTATGACTCACACCCAATTAGTGAGCTGTCATCAACTAACAACATTATTGTGACTACAACCATTATTATTATCACTTCAATCTCTTATTATATATACATATAAAGTTTGAGAACAAGTTCTCTGAAAATTCCTCTTTGCTAAATATCTTGTTTCGATTTCGCAATATAAATTCTAAATTTGCTTTTTACTTGGTCAGCTCATGAACTTAAACGACATTAAAGACCAACAGCAGGAGAAACATAAGAATAACAAATAGCTATGAGGCTGGTTAAATGTGGAGAATAACAACATTATTCTGTGAATACTGTAAAAGGTGTCTATGATCCAAAAAGGTAATTGTAGACAACATAACTACACACAGACTAGTGGTAATAATCAGCAAAATAAAGTTAGACTATTACTTGTTGAAAGGCGTTGCTGAAATTCGCACACAGCTTTTCATATTATGAGTCAGCTAAGATCAGTTTAACCAAGGACACACTCATTAATTTATTTTGGACTTCGTTTAAGAGATATAAGGGTTTTCTGTTTGGTTTTCATTCAATAACGAGTTGTATTCTTACAGAAGATAATGACTTATGTTAGTGGATGCTTTGCCTAAAAGAGCCCTAATTACCAGAATATTTTGATGTAGAACTTTTTAAGAGCCTGAATTAAGTGGCTATGCTTGAACTACAATTTATCTATGCATTAATAGCTGTCCATCTAAGATCTGAACATGATTTTACTTTTACAGCTGATACATATTCATTTCCCTAACATACGCCAATAAAAGACCTTCATTCAGTTCATTATTTGTCATCAATTTATTGAATGCTATAGTCTGTAGTTCGTAACGTTTGATTAAAGTCGAAGGAACGTGTATGTATCATCCATTTTAAGTCTGTAAAGAACTGATGACAATAACTGTACATGCGCAAAGTGTTAAACATTGTGATTACCGTAATACACGGTCTCAACCATAAATATGAAAAAGGTTTTTAAATCCAGATTTCTTCCTATTACACAAGAAACACAAAACCTGATTCGTAAGCTAATAGGATTTCATACTTTTTTCACGATTATTAACTTTAAAGCAACTTATGGGTGGCTGAATTCAGCCTAGAATAAGTTTCAGTTTTCTGACTTAAAAAGTGATCTCTGATCGTTAGTCATTCAGTATTTAGCTTTAATCTGTTATCGTTCATGGTAAAAGAAGTAAAACTACTAATAATTGCTGTGTCTATCTTTGGAAGCACATAAAAACTGGTGTAGGAAACAACAAAGACTGAGACACAGGAGAGAACGTTTATTATGACATTTTATACAGTAGTGATGACATATTGAACACTTTCCATTAAAATAGTCATTTGCACAATGTGTCTCATTTCCTCTTCTGCTTCTATCTCTACTTGCTCTTAATACTCCCACATTGTCTCTTGAGTTTCTCTGGGAAGAGTATTTACCCATCACTAGTAAATGCCTATGATTTCTGCCGACCTCTCAACATGTATTACTTATATCCATTCTTTTCAATAGTACCCACTACACTGGTACTATGTACATACATTACATAAGAAGTGGTCACTAAAATCTTCATTCATTTTTAACAGTCACCTTCAAGACTATCGGCTGCGTGAAACTGGGCGTGTTTCAACTGTTTGACTCAAAAATCAACAGAAAATTATTACATATCTTTAAATTATAGGTGATGGTAGATTTTGATTTTTTTAAAACGAAGCTGCGAACTACTCTAACTGACTTATATAGGAAACAGTGAGAGAAAATTCTAACAGTCCAGTGGTGTAAAGTTCCTCAAAAAGAGGAAAACTGAAAGATACCATGCAAGTAACAGAAAAGGATATGATAGGACAGCATTTGAAAATTGTCACTGTAATCTGATATGTAAGTATATCCACACTAGTAGAATATGCTTTTTTTATTTTTGAGATTGTATGTGTACCAATCTATCAATCTTTCAGTGCCTGTCTGGTTACATCCTCTTTTCTACCCTTCCCATATTGATGTAGGTGGATAGTTAAATGGTTGCATTAGATACATGGATAGAGAGCATAACACTGACATTGTGTATGCGCGTATTTATATACACGTGCTTGCGTATTTCAGCAAGTGCTCTATTAGGTTAGAGGTGGAGAGACATAGAATAGGAGTAAGTCAGTTAACTAGATAAACAGCTACTGAAAGAAGAAATGTGAAGTGAGGTAGAGCAACGAGAAAGTCAAATACACTGTAACAATAAAAATCGATCGTGCTTTCTACATATGTTTGATAATTTTCCCTTTAAATTTAATGGCTTGAATAAATTAAAGACATTTATTACTACTAAAAATCATTATCATTTTAAAGATAATTTTGTAATGAAACATTCAACATACAATTTGGAAATATCTGAACAAGGTTGGTCATCTCAAAGGAATTACATCTACCTGCTTCACTAATTTATCTAGCTTATTGTTGGAGCCAGATTTTATATTGTATTACCATTTATATCGATCTATATATCCATCCATCCAATGCGATTAGGCTAATATTGTTAATACGATACTGAATAGATTCCTTGACCATTGATAATTACAAAAAATTGATTAATTTTTCGAAAAACATTGAGCAATATAATATCCCCTCAGAATGGAAACATTTTCAAGTGTTTTATATGACACAGCGTTAAATAAAACAGACTTAAGCATTTTGTAATAGCTTTCAAGCAATTACATATCCATATATCTGTATATATGCACACACGTTTATTTATATATTCAGGACATCGGATACAATTACCTTATACGTATAACAATATGCTGTGCTTAGATACTAGTAACCAACTAGTATGTATTTTAGTACAGTTTTAGTATTGTTTGTGGAAACTGTATGAAAAGGAGTAGATCAGCGATGCAAATCGTGAATTTCATCCGTTATCTTTGATTTATTCTTCTTCCGATTCGTCTTCTTCCCTAGAAGTTTACGCTGTCGACAAACCACTACAGGTATGTGTAAATAAACAAGCTAAAAGAAATTAAACATTCACCTGTATTTGGAGGAAACTATTATTATCATCATTACCTCTAGTATCCAGTGATTCAGCTAATGGAAAATTATTGTTATGATTATTACCTACTGAGTACATAATGGACGATAAACCAGATTTATCTCATTTAACTCCTGAAGAAAGAAGAATTATTGAAGATGTAATGAACAGACAAAAGCAAGAGGAGGCTAAAGATGCCCAATTGGTTGGGTAAGCTATTCATAATGTTTTGCAGTTATGGAAGTGTGTTACCTTGGTTTTATTGTATTTCATGAGCTGAACTATGTAACAGAGACTGTAGAGGTCACTTAACTGGCTACATTTACCTTAATTCTAGAACTTTTTACCCTTGTTAATACTGCAATTCAAGTGATTTTAGAGAAAGTTATATAAACCAATATGACCAATGAGTTAGCACTGTTTTAATGAGGACATTTTTTTCTAAGAAGTCACTTTTATGCATATATACTTATTTCCAGTGGCTTTTAAAGATACACCTGTAGTTGTTATGATGGTCATTGGAGTTATTCAAAAATTTGAAGTTGAATGAATACACAAATTTGATTAACTAGATTAGTGAATTCCAATTTTTAAGTGCTGTTGTTGAGATCATCAAAAGAATTTCACTTATATCTGTTTGCTTTCTACACTTTGAATCTTTAAAATTAACTGTTCATAAGTTTACAAGTTGTTAACAACGTCTTAATGATCCTTTTCAGAATAAACACCCTACAAAGTCGTCACTCCAATATACAGAAATCTGTATGTTTATCTTACCGTCCACCCAATTGCAACTGATTGTTCACTATAACTTTTTTGCTATCACAGTCTAACATTTAAATTCCGTATATCAAGAATGTTATGTTTTGGAAAAGGTTAAGCATGATAACCGAATAGAAGATAATTCTTTGACTAAACATTCACCTTTTTAATGTTTAATTATTTTATACAATCAGTTAAAACTTCTGGAAGAAGATCTGTACAGTTCATCGTGTTTCTGTTAATACAACTAAATTAATCTCGGTAGTGAAACTGTTTCGACGATTGCATTTTAAGGAGTGATATGAAAGTTCTGGTGTTTAGAATAGTTTTGTGAATAAAATTGGAAACAAGATTAATCATGAACGATGTCTACATGATTTTATGGACGACGAAACAGATATTACTAACATATAGCCTGGCATTACTGCATAGCTTTCAAAGTTGGTAAAGTTCACACTGGCATACCACTATAGAAAGCAATGAGGGAAGATAAATAAACCATAATAATGTTGACAATCGTTGGTGACTGAAGGTGAAATGAAAATTTGGGCAGCAATGGTATTCGAACAAGCCACCACCAGGTTTCCCACCCGACGCTCTTCCAACTGAGCTACAAAGCCCAACTGCTGAACAGACTTTTATTTCAGTTCAATCACCAAGGGTTTTGTCTGACTACCATGTGAATTCGTGATGCGTTACTAAAGCTTGATCATACTCAGATTGGCTACCTAGTCAAGACTTTTTATCCCAATCTAAATCTAACTGAATTAGAGAGGAGGAGCATCATAATGATTGTCATTTTGACTGAGATAGCCGTAATTTGGCAGACTAGTATTGATACTGAAGGTGAAGGTCTGCCAAACCACGGCTATCTCAGATAGTCAAAATGATAATAATGTCAAAAGTCATAGGGAAAAGAGGGTTTGAAGCAAATCATGAAGTGTGACATTGCGTTTAATAAGAAGATAAGGCGTAGATGCATCTACAACGCAACAGTCGTTTCATGTTCAAGTAATTTATAGTTTTTGGTCATATATTTACTTCGTACTTGATGGTCTGAAACTTGTGGTGAAATCATAAATACTCCAGTGTCACTTAGTATACCAGAATTCCTAAGCTGACCTCCTAAAGCACAGCACTACAAATGACTATAACTTGTAAAAGTGAATTCTCTCAAGTATTTAGTGTTGTCTGATACTGCCAAAAAGAATGTCCATCTTCATCAACTGAGTATTCAGTGGGAAGAGTGATCAGTGTCTTATGATCTATCATTCTGTTTCGGCAAAATTACTTTTAGTCCAGATATGTATGAGTTTTTCGCTTTTGGTAATCAGTTCATGATTGGTTTATGCACAGCTAAGAATTAAGTATAACATCTTACGATCTCTTGTTAAAAGCATCACGTGACTAAAGTTACGATTTGGGAAGTTAGTTCTGTAACTTTCTATCCACATTATAGAAATTATTGAAATTTAAAGTCAGTTAATGAAACTAATAGACTCAAATTATCAGTTCAAACGCTACCTTTCCCTAATCTATTGATACTTAATCGATCACATTCATTGTACAACAATCGGTTACTTTCACAAAAATTTAAGCACAAATCATGAGCAATTCCATGCAGTTATATTGGTGGATACGGATGATCCAAGACATCCTAGGAAAGACTTGGCAACAACTCATGAATATACTGACAGCTGAATTAAGTACAGAGAAAACTTAAAGTTGTTTGACTTTCTCAAAATAAAAAAGTATTCATCTTTAGTGCATATTCATTCTGAATTCATTCTCTTTGAGCAATTCTTAGAAGCATTTGCCCAAGCTATGATGATGGATCACTAGTGTATTCACTTCTTTCGCATAACTGTGAAATATGGCAGGTAGGGTTAGGGATCAGACAGACAGAATTGACGTGGAACCTAGCAGAAACATACATCCCTTCAAGCTGCCGCACTTCACAGTAGTATAAAAAGAAAAGATGGAAAGAATAAGAGTGTATTAAAGTAGATAAAGTATTGTGAAGGAATAAACAGTCTGAAAATAACAGATGGTATAAATGTTCAAGCTTTAGATGTCAAACAGTGAATACATCTACGCCATTGTGACTGATATCCAGCCATGTCACCGAGATTCCTCAACGACTGATTCCTATCATCTGAAGGACCCAAAACAGGTAGCCTACATCGCCCTACACGGCTGAGGTTTAATTCATGGACTGGTGCCACATTATGGTCTGGCCAACCTCGACCCTATTTCAACCAAATCCAACTTCTCCTAGTATGCTGCATCGAGGTAGGCAGTGGATGAAAGCTTCACTGAGAGAGAGAGAGAGAGCAACACTACCGAAATCATCTTTCTGATCTACAAATATTCCACACTATCTCAACGAAATATACATTTTTCCCCTTGTGTGCTCATACGGAATCTTATTTCTTGGGTTTTGTTCCCATTCATATTTTTGTTGATTAACTTTACTTAAAATTATTTATAAAACGCAAACAGTTCAGAAAAATGTTTATTTTAAAATTTGTCAACTACAATCCTAGAATTCCATATGAAGAAGAACTGTTTTTCTTCTCCCATTTTACTATAATATTTGTTGTAATCTACGTTTTTAAATGTGATTGTAGATAATTACCTCTCTATCATAACTTTCACCATGGTTTTATTGGCTGGCATCTAGCCCTGATCAAACCACGCTCCCTAGTCTTTAAACCTGATTTGATCCAGTTTCTCCCACAGAATATCTATTGAATGCATGCATTACGTTACATAATATTGAAAAATCTCTACCGTGGCACATTTTTAGCAGTCAGTTGAAAAGTCAATGGAATAGTCAAAACTTCCTGTGCCATCATGATATCCATGTAGGCACACTAAAAAGGCAGAAACTTCTAGATCAAATTATGTCCTACTGATAACTAACATTGCCAGCCGCTTCATTTTTTTCAGTAGCTGACATTCTTTTTCTCCTCTGTTACTTTTTGCTGTAGTTAGAAATTTCTATCGCTGACAAACAGGTAAAATACATTCACTAGGTCCAATAAAGTATGTAAAAATAAGAAACCTTTGGGAAAATACGAAATTACTTGAAATTTATTTGATCTTCAAATAAACCTGTGGGTGCTCATTTAAGCGGCCTACAGTAGCAGTTTGACTTATGAACATTCGGGAATTATTTTTAACTACAGTGGATGGCCTAGTGCCTAAGTTAGAAGGATGTTTTTTTGAATGATGCCAAGATCTGGTTCATCTGAATCCTGTTGTGACTGACGTTGGTTGGTTGAAGGTAGTCGGCAGGAGGCTGTGAACCCAAGTTTTAAGCTTGTTGGCAATTATCAGTAAGACGTATTTGTAACCTCAAGAGAACTGGTGTCTACTGTGTGGTTCAAACCCTGGTCACCCAGTTCTGTAGTCAGAGACGTCCCTGTCAAATTATTTGGGTCATGATTAACTTCTTTTCCCACAGGCGGTGATGACAAGTAAGAAACCCAGGTCCACAGCTTCCCAAAGACTGCTTTCAGTGATGCAATATTGGTAAAGCAAAGAAATCGGAAATCGCCATTCATGATCCGACTGATCCGTTCTAAATAATATGTTTCGGATTCAGTCGCAATGAATCAGATGCAGTGACATGTCATCTTGATGTGCTGATATGGACTGCAGTAATTTGAACTGTCAAGTAGTGTAGCTAGCTCTCATGTTGCTAATGACCGACTGCTGGATTCCTTTCATAACACCAAATCATTATACTAACTGCATTCATCATTAATAAAAGAATAACGATGTCTTCATATGAATGAAATATTGACCTAAAACTGTATTCACTTAAGTTGAATCAGACGGACAAATTCAATTTCCAGTGAAGTTCGGTGGACGGATAAGTTAATCGCTGAGTCTCTTTTCCTTATGTCAACTCCACGGATCTGATCGAAACGTATCTCCTATATAGAAAATCTTATTTCCACTATGTAATAATATAAAACAGAACTTTTAAATCTGGGAAAAGAATTTTCATGCCCATCTCAGTGTTAGGATATTTCTGAACTAGGCTAGAAATGTTAACTAAGTATAATCGCATTACGATTTGCCGTATTCAACAAATAAAATGATATGGAATTATACTTTACTGTAATACATGAATGGTACTTGGATATTAACTGAAAGCAGTTCCAACTTCAACAAAAATACATCAGTGAATGAATATGACAAATTCATTTAAAATCAATAATAACCCACAATGTTGAAAGTAAACAGCTCTGTAATTTTCAAGGTAGCTTCAGACAATTTTAGTTCTTTCTGTCTACTTATTTATATAGTAAATCTGCTAAAAGCATAAACATATTCAGTAACACATAAACTGATGTATTTGTCACTTACTTGATGCTCAGCACTGACCAGAGTCTATCAATCAAATTTAAAATGTAGCTCGTAAGCAAAATGAAGCG